ACTTCTTATATTAAAAATTATCTGTTAAATTTTAAATCAAGCTCATATTTATTTCAACATTGTATTAGTTATTTATCTTTGCATCATTATAAAAACAAAAATAAGGCTCCCACAGATGGATTTGCTTCATAGGCTCCCTTCCAGAAGTGTTTTTTCCATATCTAAGTACTAAGAAAATTTAAATTTAATTAATTTTAATGTTTTGCCAATGCCAAAGGCCTTTCAAAATGCATTATGTTTCTGCCAGTATTTGAATAGCCTCGTGTGTTTTTTACAGAATGCTTAGCTACTTAATGAGCACAGAACCTCAAATGCCATTTGAAAATATGAAACCTTTATCTTTTAACTCAGTTTTGCTTTCATGCATAACACGACTCTGAAATCACAGTTGTGATATTTAGTAGCTGTCTTTGCAAAACTGCAGGCAATCCATCTTTCACATTTCATTGAGGAGAAAAGAAACTTAATCCCACCAGGGTCTCCGTTATCAGTTCTTCCTCTTGGTTTTCCCCCGTGGGGATTTTGTGTTGGCCAGATGGCTCTCCGACGAATCCCTAGACAGACCTGCATTTTACAAAGGCAAAACTGGAAGAGCAAAATCTATTTTTGCGTAAGGGGGTTAAAGCTCCCCTCTGTGTGTCCAGCCCAGTCACTCCTGGCTCCTGGTCAGTGTTGTGCACTTGCCCTCTCACTCCCACAGCAGCCCACCTTCCTTCCCCTTCGGTCAAGTCCAACTGCAACTAGCCCCCCAACCGCACGCCCTGTTCCCTTGAATGCCGCCGATTCTAAAGACTGTCGCACAAGCCCCAGCTTTACTCTGGATCCTCTCTCTGGGGAATGTTGATTCCATTTCTTCGGCAGCAAAAATTGAAATAGCCTTTTCAGTATTCATCAAAGATGTTTATCTTCCGTGCAAAAGGGTGGCTGAATGAAATGTCTCAGAATCAGTTTGATGAGAAATTGTTTATTTCTTCACCTGGCCCAATTCTCGTTTTCAAGCATAGCGGGGCTTTAAATTTTCAGGTAGTTGCTTTTGTGATTTAAAAAAAAAAATGTCAAAAATAATTCCAAAGTCACATATTCTGTCATAAATAGTTCTAAATAGTGTAACAACTCAAAATGTTTATTCCAAATCTTTTCTCTATGGAATAAAAATAATTGGCATTCGGTGCCTTCTCACCTTTGTCCCTTGTCTCAGTGCTGTCTAAATAATAATGTGTCCTTTCTATATAAAACCAGCTGTCTTATTTCTAGAAAACTACTGGATTATTTTGTTTCAGTTGTGTTAGGCCTGACCAACAAATGTATGAAATCTACCAATAAAAGTACGCAAAAGTAAGGGCTTATCTTTTGCCTTACATACCCATTCTTATATTCGAAATTTACTCTTACCTCGCTAGCAATACTGAACAACATGGGTTTTCACAAACTGGGCATTTCTTATGTCTTTGCTTTGAAAGCAAGGGTCTCTCTATCTGGAANGTTTTCACAAACTGAGCATTTCTTATGTCTTTGCTTTGAAAGCAAGAGTCTCTCTATCTGGAAGGTGCACACCCCTTCCTCACTGTCCATTTATGTAGATACTGTGCCTTCAAAGCGTCGTTCAAATTTCACGTTCATGAGGCTTTCTCTAAACATTTCTCCCTAAACACACACACACACACACACACGCACGCACACACAAACACAGACTGCACTGTTTTCTGTCTTCCTGGCCCTCCAATAACACTTCAGAGATTAGTTCATTGAATTAGAATTGTCCACACGCTCTTCTCTCATTAGATTACGAGATCCTAGAGGTCAGGCTACATCATTGATTCATCTTTGGATCCCAGGACCCGGCTCAGTACTGCCACGGTTATGGGCACTCAGTATGTATTTGTAAATAAATGATCGCATAGTGTATGCCAACTTCTGTAAAATTATTCTTAAATTCTGGAAAATGACACTGCTGTTTTCCTATATTGTGAACATTATTTGTGACCATAATGATTAAAAATAGAATATGCTATTTTAAATAGACTTATGTTAAATAGACTTACTGTGGTGATCATTTTGCAGTATATACAAATATCAAATCATCATCTTTACAGCTGAAACTAATATAATGTTACAGGTCAATTATAGCTTCATTAAAAAGGTAGATATGCTATTTTAAAAGTTTAATTTGTAAAGTTTTCCATGAGACACAAGTGAATTTTAAAAGTACTAACTAGAAGAGGAAATAAAGGGGGGGGATCTCAATTTATTTGTCAAGATTAACTCATATTCAGGTAAAATATCAGTAAAGGAGGGACCCGAGTAAAACAAGACTTTTCAACTAAAAGATAAATTGAAAGTTAGCTCTTCTGATCTCTTCAAAATGAGTCTTAGTGGTTACTTTGCAAAACAGAGGAGAGATGAAGTAAATAGAATTAAGAAGGAGACACGTCCACCCCGAATATTTTAGAGGATGACTGGGGAGAGGAGTCAGCCACCAGGGTAAGTGTGCCTTACCTTGCCATTTCCAAACAGTCTAGAATGACCCACATTGTATTCTGTACTCTATTTGGCTCATTTTCAGCTGAGCCAAGATATTTCCTATTTTCAAACAGACAAAAATAGAAGCCAAAGTATAACCAATTTATAAAGTTGTTCATTTAGAGGACAAAACATCCCATTGTGTTTATTGCTTTCTTCCTTATTATTTTTCTGATAACCAGAAAGGTTTAATTTTCTGTTAAGGTGATTAAAACGATTTTACTAAGAATGTGTCTGGATGCTTGGGAGAGGGAGCATAGTTTATGAGTTCCAAAATAGCAATATTTGAAAACATGTGCATAAAAACACTTTCCTAAGCATTCTTGGAATGATTCTTTTTTTCTGAACCCCTCCACCCACACCCAACTTAAAAAAGAAAAAAAAAAGAAAAAGCTTTGGGTGGAGTTAAGAACTCTTTTCAAATCTTAAACAATAAGTGGAAATCCTGAAAATGTATTCTCCTTTATCCAGTGGTGAAAACACTTTAAAGCACCCCCTCCTTTTTCCCCCTAACAATTGTTTAGCAAGGGCTTTACTTAGTGGTTTCTATTTTGAACAGAAAATTCAGTTTTAATGGCCTGAAATATAATATCCATCTGTGTTTATTTCCCTAAAAAACAAAATCCTTTTTTCCACCAATATTACAAGTCCATGGCCCTAATAACCCAGATGAACATATCAGTTTAACTAATACTTTAATTATGTGGTGAGAAATCAGTCAAATACTTAGAATATATACCATGGAAATACGACTCTGATCACAAATTAAAACATATAAAGCACACATGTAAACTTAATTTTTAAGTGTCCTGATTAATAAGTAATTATGTCTCACGTGTATCTTTACCAGGGTGGCGGTAGCTATCAGGTGAGAAATCAGGGAGTAACACACGAAGTAGTCAGTGGACAGGGGAACAGGCCAGGAGCCAGAGGAGCCGAGACCCCCAGAATCACTCTGACGCCTGGTTCCTCCAATCTGCCACCTGCCGGGCCCACTCACACATCTACCTGGAACAGCCGTATCTGGCATGTGCAGACCACTTGAAAATAAAACTGGAACTCAGTCATAATGTATTTTAAGTGTGAAGTGATATACAAATGTGTAACATCATTATATACTTATATTTAGGGTATTCTGAGCTGATTAATTCCCGTAGATATCATTCTGGCCATTCTCTAACATAAGAAGGAGACTTCATCTCCTTTCCACCAAGTCTTCCATGAGAAAAAATTCGAACATTTTATTTAGAGTTTATATGCATTTCAAAGAATGCACTTCCATTCATCCATCTTTATTACAGCCTGGCCTTTCTCACGTAATCAGGACAGTCTTTAAGAAGATCCTGAAGTCGGATTCTTCTCGGTCTTACTCAGAGAGACATGCTCTCTAACATCAGCCCCAACTCTGAATCTAGAAAGTTTATGTTGCCCCAGTGTTTCTGTTCTCAGGAAATAGAGGCTGAGTTGGAAGCTGTCTCAATGTTCATCCTTTAGGGCCCAGTGTTGCCTGGCACCACCTAAGGCTTCATAGGGCATGAGCTAAGCCACAGCAGGACAGCTGCCAACTCATCCTGATGGTCGCCTGAAAAATAAAAGCTAAGGAGAGCAGAGGCCAGGCTTCTGCTACCTCACGGCCACGGGTGGTTCTGACTCAGGAAATTCTTACGTGCCTAATTCTCTACCTTTCCCTTCTCACCTTGCATGTCTGTGTGGGGAAACTGAGCGCTGCATGCTTTTAAGGCCCACATCCCCGAAGGCAGTTCCTGCTTCTCCGATCCCTCTGACCAGAGGCATCTCTAGAACAGGTTCTCAGTCGATTGTGGAGAAACGCTTCCCACAGTCCCAGGGCGCAGGTCTCACTGCTTTGTGCAGCGGCTGTTACTTTACATTGTTGGTGTCTCGGCTGCCTGGGCTCTACACTTGTTCCCTGAAGTTGCTTTAAACGCATTACATACAAAACTGACATTTCATATTTCAACTGTTTTTTACTCATAATGTTCCTTTTCCATGATATCTGCTGAATGAGTTAGACAAATACATGGATGGCAAAATAAACCGGCCATAGTTAAAAGACAAATTCTAACATAAATTTTTCGACAAAGCAGACAATGTCATTTACAAGGTTGAAAAAATTATCAATGATATGAATAAGGTCTACTTAAAACATTGTTATTTTTATAAAACACAAATTAAGCAATAAAAGCATATTTCTTTTAACTCCCTCCTAATCAAGGCAATTTATTTTGTATATGAATTTGTACATTTTGTCAAGTAATGTGCTAGGTAGTGAGGATTTAGTATCTCCAATAGAGATTTATGTCAACAGCCACTCTTAAAATTTCCTGCCCACTCCTATAACTTAGTACTCTTTGTAAACATAACTGGTCATGGGAAAGGGCATCAATAGTGTCAAATCTGACCAATACTCACGAGANGCATGGGAAAGGGCGTCAGTAGTGTCAAATCTGACCAATACTCACGAGAGGATATTCCCAATATAGGCATAGTAGGAGCAGCAGTAGGGAGTGGTCCCATCGCAGCAGTAAGACCTACAGTCTTTGCCACACTGAGCAAGACAATCGTCTACAAAATAAAAACAACATATGTCCAGTTACAGTTCTGAAATCACAGCTTCATGAAAAAGTATTCCATTCCAGACCTCGATCACTCCTCGGTGCATTTAGAGTTTCGTTTCACGTACTCAGGATTCTAAAGCAGTTTGTAGGCATCTGAACTAGTCTACCTTCCCTATTAGACATAAAGCTAGAACGGGCAAAGACCATTCTTCTTCGACTCTCCTGCAGCAGCCCTGGCCAGGTTGCTGAGTGGTTAGAGCATCTTGGGTTCCATCCTGGCCAAGGGCTCCTACGTCAGTTGCAGGCTCGATGCCCTACCCGTCGGGGATCGTGCAGGAGGCAACCAATTGCTGTGTCTTTGTCACATCAATGTTTTTTTTCCTCTCTCTCCCTCTCCCTTCCACTCTCTCTGAAAAAGCAATGGGAAAAATATCAAAATATCCTCGGGTGAGAATAAGAAGAGAGAGAGGGAGAGATCACTGAGTCTCCAGCATCAAGCAGCATAACCGGCGGCCAGAACTGATTGAGACAATGACGGGAGGGACGAATGATCCAGCTACCCATTCACATTGTCAGTCGAGTTCGGATCATTTTTAAATGAGAAAGTCTTTTGACTTTAGGGTGTTACTCTCACCTTCATTCAATGGAAATAATTTTAAAATAATGTACTTTTTCATGGCAATGCATTTTATCTTTTCCCTTCTTTACCATTTTCTACTTTCATAAACACAGTTTGCCTACATATGGTAACACAAAGGAGTCTGCACATCCTGTCGATGCATTTGGATTGGAAAATAAAAAGTGTCCCTGGCTAATTAACTTGTGAATAATTAAGAGTTTAATGTCAGATTGAAGAATCAATAATCTATGAAACAGCACTGTGGGAAGGGGGAAAGGTATTTTCTGATTAAAAAGGACGTGTTGGAGCTAACAAAGCCAAATTACTGTCTTTTCCCCCCACGTTTGGTAAGGAAAATTATACCCAAAATGTTGAACAAAAATTACCCTGGCTTTTAAAAATTCTTTATTCCACCTAAATAATTTATGTTTAACACGTTAAGGTTACCATTTAATTATAGTCAGTGGTATAAATTATAATGGATATGCGAGTCTCAGGTACAGGATCAGGAAAACATTAAGTACGGTCTGATAATTTAAGTCAGATGTTCAAAAATCACAAAATAAGTCATTTCCAGCTCAGTCTCTGAAGGTAATGTCAACTGTTTTCTAAATTATAGAAGACTTCTGCTTTCTTGCCCAAGTCCTAACATAAAAGTACAAGATGTTATATCCACATCTATATGTCCATGCAATTGATTTATCTAGAAAGGGAAATTTAGGTTTTGCTTTTAAATTGCCTCCCTGCCAAGATGATTTTTTACAAAAGGATGTGATTAAAAAGTAGCAAAGTTCATTCACCTTTATCAATAATGTGTGGCCTTTGTGGAACAAGTGAAAAAAGTTCACATTTTCTTTCCCTCAATTTTTTTTCTACCTCATAAGTTAACAGACTTTAATGCCTTCTTCTGGGATGCTAGAAGACGGAATGAGAGGGGGAAATAATTACCTTCGTAAGATGCAGTAATACTGCTTAAATTTACTCGAAAAATCTGAAGATGGAAATACACTGTAATGATTTATTGACAGTGCATGCTTTTTGCAGAGTACATAAAACCTTTAAAGGCTATTTATTGTATCATTTTCCCAGTGAATGTTTATTGGTCTCATTTTTTGTGCTGTTTAATTAATTCAAATATTTAGACTGCTCGGTTGTCTCAAGCGCTTAGCAGGAATGTTTTGCTTCCTGCTTTTAAAAGCTACTAAAAGCCACTCAGAGACAGGGAGAGCCGATGTCCCCACTTATTCTGTGGGAGCAGGACAACCAATGTGTAAGCAGCTTCATGAGGTGCTTTTTAAATGATGTCCAGGACAGTGACATCTTACTACGATCTCCATGAATATCAAAGATTCAGTTACTACTATTGTACTCCAATGGCTATTATTATAAGGACATGGTGATATAAAAATATTTTGAGCCAGTGTTACGGGAAACCAAGCCCAAAATCTTGTAGCCAAGCAGCGCTGGATTTTACCTGCAGCAAACATTTCCGTCATGTCACACGTTGTTCATTAGTTTTATGGCATTTTCCAGCCCTCTCGTCTACTTCCCAGAATTAAATGACTGAAAAGGGCAGATTTAATAGCACGGCAGATACATTCACAATCACGTTTCCAAACCGAGGTTCCAACCACACCTCAAAGCTTGTTTTGATATGTTACTTGCTTCCTCCAGTTTATTTGAGACTAATTCTGTGAAGATCAGAGTTTGAACGATACAGGAGCATTCTCTCATTTGTTAAAAAAAAATGGAACATTCCAAAGACCTTCAGAAAACAAATAATATTGCTTCCAATATTCAAGTTAATATCCTTGAAAATCACCCAATTCAAACTTTTTTCAGTGACTAATTGAAGGCACGATCTGGAAGAAGGTTCCCCACCCCAACGCCACCTTAAGGAATGTGTCCTATAGGAAAAGCAGCATCTGGCTGCAAACGTTTGCTCAGAAAAGGTTCTTAAGCTACAGCTGAGGATAAGAGAGGAAGGAAAGGGAGGGGACAGAAGCCACGAAGGCAAAACCTTGGCCAAATCCTGTCTTTGTGGCCTGCACTGGGAGTTGGACAATAATATAAACACTTCATTGGGCCTCTCCAAAAGCGATTCCACAGTCCAGCATGATGCTCTGGGTATAGAAACGTGCTCTTAGTTCCTTAACAAATGGAACATGAATTTAACACATTTGCTTTGGGGAAAATAATTCCGGTTATGGACAGCGCATCTACTTGTGTTTCTGTCCCATTCAGGCTGGCAATTCATTGAACAGGGTGTCTGAGCCATTCTTACTTCTGCAGGGCTCCCCCATCTCGTGCCATCCTCACTTCCAGCGGTAACTCTGACTTCCAACCAAACGGAATCATCTGTTTTTGCACAGACACATCTCTTGGCTTTTGCCTTTGTGATACTCCATCTCCTTTGTCCAAGACTTCCCTATCTTTCAGAGGTCTAGTTCCTAAAAGTCTTACTCAATTCAGTTTTTTCTGAGCAAATACTGGTTGAGCTCCGCTTATGGGCCGGGTGCTTTGCTAGTGTCTGAGACTATTACGCTGAGCAAAACAGACATGGTTTTCACGGAGCTTACACTCCTAGGCAGCAGTGAGGCCCTCTCCTTTGAACACCGACAGCACATGGCTGTACCTCTCCTATGGCCCATTTGAGGAACGGGCACCCCTTGTCTCCTGGCCAAGACTCAGAGCCTGGGGGCTCTGTCCTGTGTATCACTCCCCGTAGCTCACTCAGCAAATATTAGCTGAACGAGCACGGCCAGCGTGAAAAGGCCCCTGAAATAAAGAGTTCAGGATTGGCACCGAAGCACACATTCAGGAAACATCCCCTGTCAAAGACGAGCGTCGCTGGCTTAGGGCTGCGTGTTTTGTAGCTTAGCCGGGAGAGATGTGGAAGGAGAGGAGGAATGAATGATGGAAGGAAACTTTCTAAAGGACCCCACCTTGCAGCAGGCCAGCTCTGGGGGCTCCTGAGCCTGGGGAAAGGACTACGGGGAGGAAGTAGGTGGGAGTTGGCAGCTTTCTGTGTTCCTCAGGGAGCGGGAGAGGCAAAAGAATGAAAGTTGTTCTCCACGGTGAGCGTGCGTGCGGGCAAGTGAGGCTGTCACCGCTTTCTTCGCTCCGCCCGATTTCTTATTTCTGGATGCTTTTGAAAAACAGAGGAGGTAGGAAAGAATTCTCATTGCTTCAAGTAAACTAATAAAGAGATAAAACCACTATCAACACAGCTGATTCTGCTGGTCCCTCAAGTCCTGAACGCCTTGGATGACTTCAAAGAAATGAGAGCGAGCAGATTCCAATGCGGATTCTCCTCATTAAGGAGGAAGCGCTTTCCTGACTTTTATGAATTTCAGCATTGGAAAGTCAGCATTTTCCCTATAAGAAAGTATCTTTAACTTAGGGAAACCACTCCTTTGCACTTGAAGGAACAGACTGAAAAGTTCCGCAGGAGTTGCTGTGTGTCACTCCTTGCAAAGCTGCAAGAGGAGTTCAAAGCTTTCGATGTCCAGGCCATGCTGACGAGCGTCTTCATTTCAGCTCTAGCGCCTTTCCACGGCTTTCCAAGCCAACCTTTACGCATATTAGAAGGTAAGCCGCAGGCCTACGGAGACAGCATTGCAAGGCCACGGGTACCAGCCTCTGGTTTTCCTCACAGGAAATCAGAGACACGAAAACATTTTGCAAAACACGTTTGCTTCTAGCTTGTTTTGTGACCAGAAAACAGATGCAAAACTCCCGTTTAATTAACTTAATCATGAGTAAGGAATGAAAGGCCACATCATGGGGCTCCGTAGCAATCGCAAAACAGGAAAACCACTTTGCCCCATCAGTCATCAGCGCCTCTCCCTGAGAGTGACTAGGAGGAGGGCAATGAGATGCCCTTCACCCACCAGCAAGGGCTTAACGAAATCCCCGAAAACAGGCTAGACTCTGGGTGAACTGTCTCCCGGAGGCCTTATGTTTCACCTCGAAGCATCCCACTGCCCAGGCCAGCACACTTGGGAATCATCTCCTAAAGAACAGAAGCAAAGGCCTAAGGGCTTTTATTTCCAAGAGGCAAAAGGCGGAATATTCAGAATTCGAGGGTGGAGGGCGCAGCGAGTAGCTTATACTGAAATGGAAAGGTCACCACACGGGTTTACTGGGAAACTTCAGGTGCTTTTACAAAATGTTTTCCTTCCACCCCTTAGCCTCCAGTCGCCCCGATTCCTGAGTGGTGGACACGACTGGGTAAACGTTACGCTCTCCAGAGAGTAAAATCCCCTAAATGTGGGGTTGGGGTTTCCACGTTGCTTTGTAGACAGAGAAGGGCAACGAAAAGAAAATTGAAGAGAGGGAAGGAAACGTTCAAGGAACAAAACAAATAAACCACGAGCCAGTGGAGCCGAGCGCGCCCGCCCCGCGGGGACCCCAGCATCTCTGCGCTCCCGCCAAGGTCCCAGCGCGTCGCCCCGAGCGCGACCCGAGCGCGGCCCCGGGTCCCCTTCCCGCCCCC